TTATATCCTAAGAAATCTTTGTCTCTTCAAGGTCACAAAGATTTTTTTTAAGAACTTCCCAAGTGACTCTCTCGCAAAGAAGAAGGTGAGAACTACTGGTCTATTGGGAATCTGACCTAGCTTTCTCAATTTAACCTGACTTTCTGCCATAGAACCTTAGGGTAATAAGGGTAAAACAGGAGTACAGTTACCTGAAATACCATAAAAAGAAGGATGCAATTCGGAGTCTTAGGACTGTCTGAATTGACTGGTTTCCAAGCCTAAGTGTGAGCAGCTGTTAAGGGCTAGAAACAGTAACTTGAAAAGCCAGGTTGGAGGTACTTTTAGGGTATCCCAGCTAAGTGAAAGGAGGAGGAGAGGACAGGATTGGCTTCTCCCCAGTGGGAAAAAGCACACCCAAGTTTATTTCAATTTAAACTGAGAAAGTGAGAAAAATGATTTCTATTCTTGGTGGGATCCTTTAGAACATGCCTTTCACAGAGACGAGATGGAGCTGGGAGTCAGAGTTGGCAGTATTTGGCCCCCATTTTTGAAGTCACCACATTAAACAAATGAAGGTGGCAGCCATAATATTTCCCCAGACCTTGGTTCCGACAGGAGTTAGACAGGCTGAGCTTTCATTGCCTGAAAGGAGATGTCAGGAGCACCAAACAGGCACAGTTTTCCCTGGAGTCCTAGACAAAGTGGGCCTGTTTCTAAGCTGTGGACAGGAGGTTACTTTCTCTAGATGTTATATTTAGCTAAAGGAGTCTCTACCAGGGCTTCATGCAACACGTAAAATATGTCCCAGCAGACATAACCACAAACCAGAGGGCCAGAAGGGAGCATCCCTTAAGGGGGTTCAGTAGCATAGAAGGGCCAATTGTGCAGCCACCCTGACATCCCCAAATTAGCTGAGTTAGCTGTGAGCCAGATTTTTGGTCAGTTCTCATGTTTAATGAGTCTTTGTTTCCCTCCTACTAGAGATTCTGCCCCTGGGGAGAAAAACATGCTGCCCTATTTCATTCTCAACTTCCAGCTGCTTGCCCAGACACCAGGTAGGAGAAACAACCCAATGTTGATGTTTAACACCTCCAGACCCTTTGAAGGGTTGTGTGCTAAAGAAAAGATTAGGTTAATTCTGTAACTAAGTGAAATATCTGAATTCAATGAAAAAGAGCAAGAAAATCCAGCGTACTCTCTACTCTGCATACAACACCTACAGAGGCCTAATAGAACATGTAGGTGGAAAACCTTGGGTTCTAGAGCCAGATGACTGTATTCAAATATACTAGTCTCACTTCTTTTTTTGCTTAATCTCTCTAAGCCTCAGTTTCTTCCTCCATAAAATAAGGATAATAGTAATAACCACCTTATAGAAGTATTGTAAGGATTGAACAAGATAATGCATACAAAGTGCCTAAGATATTACCTGGCACATAAGGGTTCAAAAATTTTTGGTTTTGATGATTCTAGCCTTTGCCAAAGGATCATTAAGTTTTATAGATTAAAAAAAAATTTTTTTAAGGAAGAAAACCCGTGATTTTTGCCAGTGACAAGCAGATTCAAATTCACTAAAACGCAGGTAAATTTTCACAGGTGTCCATAGCTGAACCAGAAACAAAGGTATCTTTTCTGAAGCCTGTGTCTCCAGAGAAATGTGGGTTTTCCTTTTGCTACTGGAACCAAATTTACAGGTAAAATAAGAGGTATATTTATTTTATATATTTGGATTTCAGTGTGGTGTCTCTTGGTTGCTGGCCATCATAGATAATAGAATCTGAAACAATGCTTCATTCTTTAAGAAATGTGGTCTTCCATTGCTTAAGCTAGCCCCCTCTCCATATGCAGACCCACTTTTGTTCACGCTTATCTTGGGGACTGTAGCTTACCTATCACAATTTAACAAAGGTCATCCAACAAATGGAAGGAAGCCCTCAGTGTAGGATGCCTTTGTCATCACACAATTACAGTGTATTCGATTTCTAAGGTAGCATGGAGGTCGTATAGCCCAAATATTTTCCTTAAACTTGAGGGGACTGAGGCATAAAAAAGAGAGGTAATTGTCCAGAGTTTCAGAGTTATTGGCAAAGCTGAGCAGAAGGGAAAGTGTCCCTTAGAGAAGGGCTCTGCTCTAATAGCATAAAGTAAGCCCCAGAAAGCTTCACATAACTTCCAGGGTGACCAAGGACATTCCTCAGTTCTCTTACCCGATTATTATAGCTCAACCAGTGGGATTCTAATTCTTCATGTACAACATACTCTAAACAAAAGAGACTGAAAAGTTAAGGTATGGAGAGAAAATGCTTCTTTGTCCATTACTAGAAAGCAGAGAGCCTCTCACCCAGCCAAAAAGAATTAATCTATTCTTACAATCAGCCAAGCCAGCTTCTACCTTAGAGTTCTCTGCATACATTGGATGCCAGGGGAGAGAAAAAAGAGGTTATTCACCCTGTGGGATAGCATACATTGGCTATTCGACAATCCTACCGATATCTCTAATCAACTATAATTTAACTGATGAAAAGTTATAATGATCAAGAGAAAATCCTATGATCCGTAACAACATACAACCATATGAACAAATCTCACAAATACAATAATGAATGAGAAAAACCACACACAGAAGAGTACACACTGCATGATTCTATTTATATAAAGTATGAAACCAAGCAAAACTAATCTCTGCTGTGGACAGTCAGGACTGATGTTGTCCTTGGGTGTTGGGACCACCCCTCCCAACCCCCCAGTGACTAGAAGGGAGCATGAGGGGACTTCTGGGGGTACTGAAATATTCTGTTTCTTGATCTGGGAGATGGTTACCAGGTGTGCTCAGTTTGTAAAAATGCATTTAGCTGTAAGCCTATGATACATGCACTTTTCTTCAATGAAATGTAATATATAAACAGTCCTGTGATTAATTAGAAATTCTTCCTTACACCCTCAGCATAGAAATGCATGGCTTAAGGAGGTCAATGCTTAGACCACAGCTAGGAATATCATTCATGAGTGGGTAGGGATATACACCATGTCTTATATACATGCTGTGCACTTAGGCTTTTTGTGAAATGTGAATGGCATTTGAGGAACCAGGAACATGTCTTTGATAGCTCGCTGCCTTTGGCATAAACATCTCTGAGATCTGGAGGGGTTATAAGACTCTCTCTGCTTGGTTCTTCTCTAATTTTCTGAAGCTGGGAGAAAAGGGAGCTGAGAGATTGGGTGAAGTCTAGATAGCTGAAAATGTCTCATAAAAGTTTTTCTCAGATGAACAGAGAAAACGGAGGAGGGAACTATCCATCAATCCCTTTTCTTCTCAGGATAGTCTAAGTGGCTGTCAAGATTGTAGAGAAGTGGTATCTGGTCACTGGCAAGGCTCCACCTAAATAGGTTTAAAAATATGTTTTGTAAAAATAAAGATTGTATATATTTCAGGTGTACAACAAGATGAGTTGATACACACATACACAGTGAAATGATTACTACAGTCAAGATAATTAATATATCATCTCCAAACATAGTTACCTTTTTTGTGTGTGTGAAAAGAGCCCCTGAAATCTACTCTCTTAGCATAGTTCCAGTATTCAATACAGTATTATTAACTATAGTCATTAATTTTAGTCACATATAACATCACCAAGTGTTGCAGAATGATTCAAGTTAATGACAAACAAGCTAGAGCAGATGCTGGGAAGCATGAGGACATGGTGAAAAGTACCCTCGCCCCTAAACCAAGTATGGCCCCAACGAGAGCACAGCCAGGCCACTAAAAATAGCTAGTGAGCTCTGCAAGGAGTTATCTCTCTCTTCCTTCTTTTCATTCTGAGATGATTGTACACTTAATATCCTGTCTGTAAGACACAGGGAAAGCCCCTTCACAGATGCAATTATGTAGATGGACGATTCTAAAGCAGTTATTTTCTCATGCTGGTATAAACAGAAGAAATTGCGTTCTAATTCCAGACCTACTGAGATCTGTATACTTCCTAATGTTAAGAATTAGAAAACTGACCAAGAACTAAGGCTACTATCTACCACAGTCCTGTTTACTGAAGTCCATTCTCTCCCAGCGTCAAATTTTAACACTGGATTTTGTCAACTGCGAACCAGTGAATTCCCTATATATGAAATCAATGATAGCCCTCTATATATCCTCTTTTTACATATCATTTGTGGGAAGATTATTCACCTTCTAAAAAGTCTTCTGGGGATGTCAGAGCTTGAATGTTGGACATGGTATAACATGTACAATGGTTGGGGCTTTTGCCACCATTTGTAACCAAAAGTCATGAATAAATGACTCCATTAAGAGCTCAGGTTGAGAGAGCTTAGAAAACAGCTTCTTGGGTTTCCAAAAGGCTAGTTCCGCTACTGACAGGTAAGGTGAATTCAGTATAAATTTCTTAAGATTATCACAATAAATTTTGAGTTTTTCCTTAGTCAGATTTTTCGACATACACCCAAGGAATTGTGACAAACAACTGAGCTTCAGAAAGCATTCAGGGATGGGTTTGAATTCCACCTGGGGTACCAAAAAAAAAAAAAAGAGGAAGAAAGCATTCAGGGACCCAAAGACAAAGATACGTCATGATAAGAATAACCAAATTCATGAGTTCACCTTGGCCAAAATCATCTTGGAACTTGGAAAGAGAACTAAACCAAAAACATAAACATACATGGATTTGCTAAATGAACTAGAAGAAGAAATCATGAAATGACACAGAAGGTTTCCACATCTCAACAGCTTCACAAACCACTTAGGAAATCAACCAAATACAGTCATTATTAATATACGCAAATTATGAATTATGCTGCCAGTCCTGGGGTTGTACCTTGCAAATGGTTACTTTCTCAGGGCTACTATAAATTCAACTCAGAAAGGAAGAAAAAAAGCCAATTCAAATTTTTTCTCCATAAGTATGTAGCAGGGCAAGACCCATGGAAAGCCTTTTAAATGGGCCAATAAGATATTCTTTCTCTTATTTACAAGACTGTGTCTTTGACTAGAAATAGCTATTTACCTTTTTAAAGAGTCTTCCTGAGTCCTCGCTGACTTGGACAAATCGAGGAATGATATTATTCAGGTAGATGTCACTCAGGGTGGTGTGGTCCCTGCTCTCCCGCTTCACCTGGTTTAAGAGGAGATTCCAGCAGTTGACTGGAGAGAGAACATTTTGATCCTTCCTGCGAGAAACAGCAAGAAAAAAAAAAAGTCAGTGTTGGTAAGCAGGCAGGGCCAACATCTATGACTAGAGTCCATGTCACAAAATCACAGCAATCAGAGCCAAACCAGAAATAAAGATGTCTTTCCTGAAGTTGCACCTCTAGTTTTCTCTTTTTCTAAAAACTCAGTGGAGGAATAAGGGAGAAAATAAGAATAATGAAAAGGAGAAGGAGGAGAGAGGAAGAGGCAAAGAGGATTAGAAGAAGCAGGATTATCTGTTGAGCATCTATTATGTTCTAGAAACTTGGTAAAATCTTTACATGCATTATCTCATCTAAGCTCCATCATTTTGTTGTCAGAAAAGAACTACCATTATCTCCATTTTACTGATTAAAAAAAAAAAAACCACTCAGAGAGGTTGTCACTTGCCCACAGCTAGTAAGGAGTCACAGAGACAGTAAAAGGGAGTCAGGGACCAGAACCACAGTTCTGTGCTGACTAGAATGATTCTAGGAGGTCTGACTCCAAATTCCATGACCCCAACCACTAAATCATTTGGTTTTTGTCTAGGATTAGAGGGAAAAGTTAGTCTCTAGACAAAAATCTACACTACAGACTAAATAAATCCCCACACATTCATCTCTCATAGGTTTCAATGAAGACAACTGTGGAGGCATTTGCCATAAAAAAAGTCACCAAAAACTCTTCAGTCTCACAGAACGCATCTACAGAGGTTGGATTTCATTGATTGAGCCATTTTCTATGTCCCATACAACCAAGAGCATAAACCATATCTGAACACATGTGTTCCAAAGATGTCTACAGCCTGAGTGGAGCAGTAAAGCACCAAACCTAGATGCTCATTTCTACTGAAAACACTGTGATCCAAAAGAATTATTGATTACATAATCAGCTCACAGCACTAATTTAAGCAACACAAAGTTTTACATCTGCAAGTTGGACTTCTTAAAGGAGAGAAACAGAAGGTAGGGGTTATTTATCAAGTGCTTACTGTGTACTTGGCCCATGGCTGGGCCCTATACTCATGTTGTTTAACTTGAACTCTACAAAACTTGATGAAGTGGGGGTTATCAACCACATTCAGCAGATGAGGAAAGGTGGACTAAGAAAGGTTAAATATCTTGTTCAAGGTCACATAGCTAAAAAGTGGCAATGCTGGCATTCAAGAACAAGCCCTGTAATTGAAGAGAATGCTTGTAATCACTGCAAAGTATCACAACCCGTTTGTTCCCCCTCTCCCCTCCCTACAGACAGACTCTTAATGCAAAGAAAGTGAGCTGAGAGTGGCTTGGTTAGCAAGTCTGCACCACTTCCCTTCCTGCTGCCAGGCACCTGTGACTTGTAGAGCATAGAATTCAACTTAGAAGGGCTCTTTCAGTTCAGTCGTAAGGTAACTATTAACAAATAATCCCGCCACACCTATTCTGGCTTCTGAACACACCATTAAATCAAAATATCTGTCTGGCCAGCACCAACAGGCTGCTTCAAACCAGTGAATATTAGAGTCCAAACTGAAACTGTTCTATACCTGCACTCCTCCCCCACCCGCTGCCCCAGGCACCACACTTCTGTGGTCAAAATCCCTAACATGTATGTGCTGACCACTGTGGGAACAACTGTATCCACTTACATTTCTAGGGTAATTAAAAGATTTCTATGGAAATTAAAAATATATACTAGCTAAGAGAGAGAGATACATGTAATTAGTCCGCTCCTTTCAAAATTTCTAGCATCTGGGGGAAAACAAAAAGGTAAATAGGAAACAATCCTAAACTCAAAACGGTGAGATCTGAGCACAAGCATTCAACAATATTTGATATTTCCACTGCAAGAACTTTCAAATTGATTCCAAATCAGTCTCAGTTACAAAATCCTAAGTAATCTAATTTTTGGGGGGTGGCAAGACATCCATGTCCTCAGTAAGCATGGGATATACCAGGCAATTACACTTGCTTTTTAAAAGGGCAGATCTCCCATGACCTTAACTTTACAACTGGTTTCAATCTGTTTCTTGCAGATGAATGTGGGTTGGTGGTGCCTCTTTGTTCTTCTCCTAGAGTGCTTTACACACATAAAAACAATACTACAATTCAATTTTATAAATGTATAAACATTTGTATCTTAAATGAACAAAGTACAGTAGTAGGAGCTTTAGTGGTTATAAAAGTGCTGATGTCACAGTACAGTGTGGGAGACAAAGAAAGACCTATAATATGACAAAAGGTTAAAGGTATGAACAATGGGCCTCCTAGCTCACCAATGTACATCACAGATCACAAGTGAGGCAGGAGAGGCAAAACCGGTTCAATACCATGCAAGAGGATGCAGAGCATAAATCCCAAGGGGGCCCTTGAGTAAACAAAGATGAGTTAATAAGAAGGATGGGCAGAAGTGGGACTCTTTTAAAATGCCTTATCACTTAACACTCATAAATTTATATTTATTAAAAACTTCTAAGGTGCTACAAAAATTTTTACCACATGTATTTATTTCCATTGTTACAGCATGTGGTGGGACAGCCGTTATTAGTTTCAGTGAGCAGAAGGTTTAAAATGTGTTCTGAGAAATGCTGGAGTTACAGAGAATCATATTTCAGTTTCAAACAACTGTAATATACCCATTCAAATGAACAACCCCCACTGAAATATGTAAAGGACCCAGGACCCAGTTTCCCTGCAGTAGATACCACCACAATGTCTCATGGGCTGCTGAGGTGAGCTTTGTTATATGCAAGCTTTGGAATAAAGAATCAATGCATGTATCCAGACTGCTGGAAAACATGCTATCGATTAGAATGTATGCTGCTCTGCACAGGTTTAGTTTTTAATTCAACCTGTGTGCCTCCTTGAGTAAAGCTGTTCAGGTGAGCACATGATTTGACGCACAGTGGCCAAGTTCAATTACGTGCCACAGAAGGCTTAGGGGCCTATGCTGAGTTCATGGTAGACCACAGTTGGGTAGTAAGGATATACACGCTCAATATCATCTCATTTCATTATCAGTTGTTGTAAAGCTTATTATACATTTCCATTTATCCAATTAATATTGATGAAGGAGAATAGGAAAAGCTTCTGGGAATGTCAGTGATTCAACTTTAAAACAGAAAACACCCTTCTTTTTCAAGCATCTAAATCAATTTAAAACTATCTCAAGATTATGACAACTAGTCTGCGTGAGTCGGGATTTCTTGATATTGAGCAACCCAAACCAGAACCTGAAATAACTTGGATGCTGAAACTGATATAAAACTGCAACTCTGATTCATAATCTGGGTTCATAAACCCAGCCTCATTGTTTCTACTGTTTAACTCTGCAATAAGTACTCCTTATAAATTGGCACTTTAAAAGTAGATTTATACCTATGAAACACTGCTTTGATCTGTTGCATATATGGGAGTTCTATGTAAGATTTTTATTTTAAAAAAGGAGTCTATGGCCCTAAAAAAAGTACTAGACTCTGTTGTCTGTTTCTCCCAGGGTTTCCCAGTTATTTACTATTACTGTAGTTTTCATACAATATTTTTGGCTCTTTGAGTTTGTATGCTTTCTCAGACTTATTTCTCCTTCCAACGGAGGTGTTTTAATTAATTCATTTATTTATTTTGGGATAGTGGTGGGGAAGGAGAGGTGTGGGGCATGCAGTAGGAGGGGAACACAATTCCACTGTAGAGGCAATTTTCCCAGCCACCATGAACAAAGGCGAAACACACTTCAGGCTGGAAAATGAGCAAGTCAACGAGACGTGATTTCATAGGGAGCAAATTAAGGTTCTGCGAGAGTGGTTTCCTATTTCAGCAGCTTTGCAGCCTGATTTTATTTGGGGCTGCTAGAGCCAAGAGAGCTTCGTTTGGTCAGGAGATTGAAATTTGTCTTTATATCTTTTCCATCTATCATTTGTTTGTAGAGTTTCTTTACTTCCCCCACCCACGGAGTCTTAGGTTGTGTGATACTTGGGCATTTAAAGAAAAAGGTCTGCATCCCTTAGGCATGTGCTGAACAGCTGCAAACTTCCTCAAACACTAATCCCTAAAAAGCAGACAAAATATCCAGAAGTATTTTTATTACTTAAACATTTTTTCAGGAGGAAGATCAAGAAAACGTAATACTGTAATTGAGAGGAAATGACTCTGGAGTCAAAAAAAAAAAAAAAACCCAGGAGAAAAAGGAGGCTCAGAAAGTCACGAGCCAACTATGCATCCACAGAATGATCATTGTAAATGATCATCTGAAAGAGTTAAACCAGGGGCTTCCCTGGTGGCGCAGTGGTTGAGAGTGCGTCTGCTGATGCAGGGGACACAGGTTCATGCCCTGGTCTGGGAAGATCTCACATGCCGCAGAGCGGCTGCGCCCGTGAGGCATGGCCGCTGAGCCTGCGTGTCCGGAGCCTGTGATCCGCAACGGGAGAGGCCACAACAGTGAGAGGCCCAGCGTACCGCTAAATAAATAAATAAATAAATAAATAATAAAATACCTAAGGTGAAGAGCTAACTCCATAAAGGTCCAAATTGGCCTTGACAGAACACTTCCCCTTTCTTCCATATCCCCTCTGTTCAGTTTCAGTTGTCTCATCTATAAAATGGACACATGTCCTGTTGTACATCTAGCTCCCCAAAGATCTTCAAAGCATGACTGTAAAATCCTGCAAGCTCTCCTGGCCTAAGGTGCCATTTAATTAATGATGACTATGTTCACAGCTCTGCAGATGGGCTGCATGACACAAGCCTGGCATTACCAGATGGCTTGAGCTTCTGCATTTTTCTACTGAGGTACGTTTCCTTTTGGGCCAATGGTCTCTGACTTGCCCACCTCATGGGGCTGTTGTGTGGCTCAAATGAGATGATGAATGCAAAACAATTACATCAACAGTAAAGCACTATACAAATGTGAAGAAATATTATTATTTTTATTTCCAAACAAACTAGGATTCAGCATTCATCAATTTCCAACATGCTCCTCACCCGGCCCTGGGTCAGGGCCAAGAGCTCCGCCTGCTGCAAAT